CTACATCCCGGACGTGAAATATACCGGAGACCTAAAGCAGAAACTAAAACACAGCAGTTGTGGGACCACAAGGTGCAGCGTGTCCTGAAAACAGTCATGCGTTGTCCAGCATGGAGGACGCAGGAACGTGGCGCTGCCCGCACACGGGACTCACCGTTCACCGTCAGATGTACCCAGCTGCCGTTGTGAAATGTGTCGTATTGCTGCTCCAGCATCAGCACTTTGCACTCGTACCAGCCCTGATCTTGGGAGCGAGCCTGGTCAATGCGCAGCGATGCCTTGTCATGGAGGGTGGCGCGGCCTGCAGAGAGAGCACACAGGTTAGTCACAGTCTGCCAATATACGAACGCCGCCGTGGTCTACCATATGTGGAGGCCGGAGGAACAGCCTCCTGAAAGGGATTCCAAGTTACCAGCCTCTAGGAGAGCGCCAGACACAGGACCTCCATATTACCAGCCTATATCCCTATAGAATATTATAGCATTGTATCCCTATAAGATATCCTAGCATTGTATCCCTGTAAGATATCCTAGCATTGTATCCCTATAAGATATCCTAGCATTGTATCCCTGTAAGATACCCTAGCATTGTATCTCTATAAGATATCCTAGCATTGTATCCCTACAAGATATCCTAGCATTGTATCTCTGTAAGATATCCTAGCATTGTATCTCTGTAAGATATCATAGCATTGTATCCCTATAAGAGATCATAGCGTTGTATCCCTATAAGAGATCATAGCGTTGTATCCCTATAAGAGATCATAGCGTTGTATCCCTATAAGAGATCATAGCGTTGTATCCCTATAAGAGATCATAGCGTTGTATCCCTATAAGAGATCATAGCGTTGTATCCTCATTAGATTTTGTAGCATTGTATCGTTCAAGCAAACAGTTACCTGCATATTCTGGGTCCACATGAGGAGGATAGAAGCCAAACTTGATGAAGATGGGAATGGGAACGCCAAACTTAAACCACTCTACAACATATGGCGGAGGATGCGAGGTGAGCGGGTGGATCACGTTGCACCTTAGGACGACACTCTCTCCAGCACGTGCGGTCACAAACTGTGGCTCCTCCCGCGAGCCCCCGGCTCCTGCAACACAAGACATTTGCAGATTCATGAATTCTATAGATTAAGAGCGTTCCGAGGGCAGTTCAGACTTTCAAAAGAGCATAAAATCAACATACAAGAAGCCCCAACACATACACACGCCAAGGAGGACTTCCAAACTTACCCCTCCCCCACCCATTGTCACTGAGGGGCCCACAAGACACAAATATTACTAACCCTGAACAGATATACAATTCCCCTCCGCAGGAGCCCTCGTTGGGGTCAGAGATGGATTCTCACAGGCCAATTCAAGAGAAAAGGCACAGGCCCCTGCAATGGGACAATAGGGGTCCCCACATGGGAAAGACAGGTCCTCACAGGGACACAAACCCTCACAGGGGATAGCCACAGGACCCAGCAGGGGGGCACTCACAGGGTAGCTATGGTACCTCACAGGCGACAGACATGAACAAATCCGGGGGGGGGCACACACAGGCCCTTGTAGGGGGATAGACCTGGGCACCCCCCAAAAGGACAAATACAGGCCAATTCAAGAGAAAGGCACGGGCCCTCACATGGGGAAGACAGGTCCTCACAGGGGTTAGCCACAGGACCCAGCAGGGGCACTCACGGGGTAGCTATGGTACCTCACATGGAGTGCGCTCGAAAACGACTTCCCCTGCGAACAAAAAAAGTGAATCGTGAAATCACAAGACAAAAACGTGCACAGCGGGTGCTGGGTCCTTCAATAAAGAAGGGGTCACAATTTCCCAACCCTCTGGGGCACAAGGCTCCTGACAGGGGCTAGGAATACTTTGGTCCACCTACCCGAAAGCAGGCGGACCCCGATCCTCCGGGACCTGCCGAAACAAGTCCCACAAGTACTAGGTGGGGGGGCTCTCCCGAAGAGAGACCCCCCACAAGTGGGAGAAGACAGAGGGTCCCATAGGGGTTACAGAATCTCCTCCCCAACATCAGGAAAGGGCCCCGAAGGTACCCGCACCCTCCGTCTCTGTGGGTCAAATTTCAATCAAAAAGTGCCAATCGTGCATATAGTGCAATAAATAAATCTAAAGTGCCAGTGCACCACGCTGACAGGCCTTAGGGGTCGGAGTGCAAAAAAATATTGCCCCGGGCTAGCCATAAGGCCTGTCCAAGAGGCGTTGTGCAGAAACTGCTGGACACACACTCTACAATCAGATTGTACAATTGCTTTATGATCTGTCTTGGGTAAGATCTATCTAATGTCAGTGCTTGCCTAGAAGTTCCTTCAACCAGTGCAAGGCCAGTCAGGTCCTCAGACTACACTGTTGTTGAAGGATCTAAAGGGGAATTCTGCAACCAGATTGTAACATGTGAGGCCATCTACACATTTTCCTAGCCATCCAATACCTTGGGCAAGGTCGGATTAAGAGCATCATGGGCCTGGTACTGTCGGTCGGTCAGATGGGAAATGCAGAGGCGGCTCTCTAATTATACGTCCGCTCGCTCCTCAAGAGCTCCAGCGAGTGGCCACTTAATAACGCCTGATTAGAGAGCCGCCGGGACCTCTCCCTGATTGTGTTCAGCCCGGCAGGCCCAGTTTGCCATCGGCATACCAAGGCGACCCAGGCCAGGCAGGCCTATTGTCAGTGGTGGTCCTGAAGCTGGTGCTCCAGTAGCCTCTACGTTAATCTGGCCCTGACCTTGGTTCATCAGTCAGGTAGGTGTGCACTTAACATAGGAAATGAAAGATCTGCTCTACCTGCTACACCCGGACCGTTATTGATGAGCCAAACCCAGCCGTAAATCGTGGATTTGGGAACGTCCAAATAAAATGAACACCCGTGTGCTAGCACCTAGTGGCGTTATACGACCTGCACGGGATCATTGGTTGCTAGGACACAGACGGTAGACCAATGAGGTTGTGTGGCCCATCAAATGGCCAACTGGCCCAATTGTTCGCCTGTTTGGCAAACTGTGAACAGCTTGGATTTGTGGTTGGCCAGAGCCTGAAGCTGGTCCCTACTGATCCTATACATTGGTCTGTAGAGGCATCTTAAAGATCATGTACGGCCCAAACTTTTGTTTAGTGTTGCATGGTAGTCACGTTCAAATCAGAAGGCACTGGGCCCTGC